GGAGGGGCCCCCCCCCCGGTCCCCACCCACCGCTGCCCCGGGCCACACAGCCCCGCCACGTGCCCCGGCTGCTGGCACCGCAGCGGGACCTGCCCCGGCCACCACCCCGCACACACGCATGGGGGCTCGTGACACACAGGGTCCCACGGGGTTACACCAGCCTGGGGCACGTCCTGCCCGTGCCACAGGGGATGCACCAAGGAGGTGATGCGAAACCCTCGTGGGCAGCGGTGCGGGCAAGGGCTCGACCCCTCAGGCCACCCGGTGGCACTTCACCCCCAACCCCAGGTGCTGGCGGCCTGCAGCCGGTGCACGGGGCCGGATCCGGAGCCAGGCAGACGGGTGCTGCCACGGGCTCGTGGGGCTGCTCCCGCTCCACCCACAGCCCCTCTGCCCGGCTGCGCGGGCAGGGCACTCGCTGCCCGCATTCCCCCCCCCCCAGCCCATGCATCCACCTGGATGTAGTCCACGGAGTCTCCGAGCGCCCGGAAGGCCGTGTACATCACCTCCCGCTTCCCACCCCACTTCTGGAGGATGCAGGAGTAGGTGGTGCTGCGCACCAGCGCCTGGACACGGGCCAGCCCTTCCCGCAGGCCGGCCTCCGTCTCCCCCTCGCCCCGCGCGTGGAAGTTGCTCCTCCAGACGTAGCTGCCCGAGTGCTCGGAGCCCATCACGTCGTGGAAGATGTCCAGCATGTAGGTGTCATCGGGGCCATTCCCGTCCACCACCATCACCACTTTGAGGTCGGGGAAGGCGATGCGCTTGACGGAGCGCAGGCACTTCTTCAGGTAGTCGGGATCCTCCTGGTAGGCGGCGATGCAGAGGGCCACCGAGCGCCCCAGCCGCACTGGCCGCCCCTCGCCCCGCATGCGCCGGTGCTCCAGGAAGGCGAAGAGGCTCTGGATGAAGAGGTGCAGCCCCAGGATGGCCCCGTAGAGCCCGAAGGAGAGGTAGTGCTTCTCCGTGTGGATGAACTGGTACCCCGTGACGTAGGCGGCGAGGATGCCCCCCAGCACCGCTAAGGCAAAGAGGCTGGTCCCGACGACGCGCAGGGCCGTGGAGAGGCTCACTGGCATCTGGGGGGGGACCGGGCAGCGTCAGGGCAGGGCCGAGGGGACAGCCCCACGGCAGGACCCACTGCCTGGCTCCCCAGAAGGGGAAAGCAGGGGGACCCCACTTGTCTGCCGCCCCACGGCCACCCCATCCCTTGCCGGTCACCGGTTTGGGGGTGAGACCTTCCCAGTGCCTCCATGGGGCCGGGCGAGGTGTGGGGGTCCCGAGCATCCCGCTGTGCGCGGTGCCTGCACCCACAGCCCAGCCCCGTCCAGCCAAGTGGGGATGCAGCTGCTCCCCAGCGATGGCCGGGCTGGAGGACAGGGAAGGGCACGGGGACGTCGGGGACCCGGCCCCAGGGTGTCCCCAGGGGAGAGGCCCTGCCTGCGC